GGATGGGTGGAGAGATGGATGGACAGGTGGAGGGATGGATGGGTGGATGAGTGGAGAGATGAATGGACAGGTGGAGGGATAGGTGGAGGGATGGATGGATGGGTGGATGGGTGGAGAGATGGATGGACAGGTGGAGGGATGGATGGGTGGATGAGTGGAGAGATGACAGGTAGAGAGATGTGTGGAGGGATGGGTGGAGGAATGGATGGATGGATGGATGGGTGGATGGGTGGAGAGATGGATGGACAGGTGGAGGGATGGATGGGTGGATGAGTGGAGAGATGAATGGACAGGTGGAGGGATAGGTGGAGGGATGGATGGATGGGTGGATGGGTGGATGGGTGGATAGATGCATGGATGGGTGAAGGGATGGATGTATGGGTGGAGGGATGTGTGGATGGGTGGAGAGATGGATGGACAGGTGGAGGGATGGGTGGAGGGATGGATGGATGAATGGATAGATGGATGGATAGATGGACAGGTGGATGGGTGGGTGGAGGGATGAATGGATGGGTGGAGGGATGGATGGATGGGCAGGTGGATGGGTGGGTGGAGGGATGAATGGATGGGTGGAGGGATGGAACGTGGAAGGCAGGGACAAACACGCCTAGGTTGGTGACACCTCAAGTTGGAGGATCGCCACACCTCACATGTTCCCACCTGTGGTTTGTTCTCTGAGATGACAAACTCTTGTGGTGCGAGGCCAGGTTGTTCATGGTCGGGTGTGGAATCTGGGAGGGAGTCTGGACGTGGTTGGAGGCACCGTCCACACTTGCCCAGAGCACCTGCCCTCAGAACCCACAGACCTGCAGGTCCTGGTGAGGTGAGGACGATGCACCTGCTGACGGGGGGGACGAGGGGACGTCCTGCCGTGTGCTGTGGGGCCTCCTTCTGTGGAGAGCAGCCGGTGTGCGGGGCTCCTTTCTGCAGCCAGCCTCCCAGGGGCAGCTCTGTCCCCGTCTCTGCCCAATGAGGGGATGTGGGAGGAGGGGACTTGGTCAATGGAAGCAGGTGCCGGGGGCTTGGATGGATTCTGAGATTTCATAATGAAAATATAAGCCAGACTTTAACATAAACATCCGTCTAAATAACAGACTAAAAATCAAGCCAAGGAAGATGTATCTCACTACCCCTGAGCCATTATAACTGAAGTAATATCGCACCGTGCTGATGGGAAAGGACGCAGCACCCGGCGGGCGTGGGCAGCTCCATCGCGCAGTGTGTCTGCGTCCTGCCCCGATAATTCACCGCGGGCCACGTGAGCGCCCCCCGGACAGTGTGCCTGGGCTGGGACCTCGGGGAGCCTGGGCCTACCACCGCCACCCCTGAGAGCGCTCCCTCTGGAATCTCCTTACCAAGCCTGCAACCTCAGGCTGGAGTGGACATGATAAAGGCCCAGCTGACATTGCTGCGTTTTCATCAGTTCCTCCTGCCCCGGCAGGTGAGGGAAAGGAGAAAGCATCAGAATGGCTGGGTGACGGTGCAGCTAAAACCAGGGGCAGGAGAGGATGCACAGAGCAGGTGAGGAGGGGCAGGGCAGGTGGGGAGGGGCAGGGCAGGTGGGGAGGGCAGAGCAGGGGGGGGGGGCAG